CACTCACTTGCAGCAACCAAATAGTCTGATGGCGTTGATTTTGGAGAGCCGTGGCATGGCTTCTGAAAGTCTCAAGATTTACAATAATGTTTTTGAAGTTGTGAATAAGAGTGAAAGAAGTCGCCCGTACATGATACAACTGCAGGAGATTGTGGGGCTTGTGTTTTAATAAATTGAGGTACGCACTTAATTCAGGTTTACATAATGCAAGTTTCTTTTTTTTGCTGAGTGTACTTCTGTTGAATGTAAATCATTATATTATCCGTGTTAAGTCTATGCCTATTTATTTATGTGTCTCATTAGAAAACCCATTTTGTAAACAGCCGTCGTGGGAACTAATTATTTTATATATAGTACGTTATATTATATATAATTGTTCACTTCAGTCTGTTCCTCTTTATTTTATGAATTAGGTTAGTTTACATGTTTAAGGTAAAATGAAGAACATTTTCGAAATAACATGCCAGTCATCACAAGCTTAAAATATGAAAGCGAAAGTACTGTTTTTGTAAACAGCACATAAATAGATCTGCTGAGTTGGCATAACCAATAAAAATGTCATTTTTTAAAAATGTATAAAGATATATGGGAACCTCTATTATGGCTATAAACTAATACATACTTGAGGTAAATGAAATAATTATTTGTTATCATGTCTATTATAAATATCTTGGTCCGTTTACTTACCATGTTACTCATTTTGACCAAAGCTTTAGGTATAGCTTCGTCGTTACTTAGATATTTGACATGAACCATTGTCTGGTGGACCATTACCCAGGTGTTGTTTTTTTCTTTCTAATTATAGCCCCGGGTCTACATCGATCCTACCTCAGGTCCTTATATTTTCCTAGTACAGTAGAAACCCTACTTAAGACCACCCCGGAATTAAGACCATCCCGCTATTTAGACCAGTTATTAAAAGAACGGAATTTTCTGTTCTTTATGTCAATGGTTATTAAGACCACCTCGCTTATCCACTTTTAAGACCACCAAATTCAGTCCCAATTCTTTGTTATGTTCTTTATTTGACCTCACTATTGAGACCACTGATATTAAAATCATGAGACCACTGATATTAAAATCAACACCTTTCTAGATCTTCAATTTGTTGTTATGTTGTTATTATATGCTTGATTGCTCTTAGGCATGACACTTGATTACACAAGGTGTCAAAACCTGTTATTTAAGGGATATAAAATGAAATAAGGTGAGAAAGTATATTTTAGAGTGGTTTAATGTTGATTTTAGCACATTCATTTTGTGAAGGAATAATGTCTTATATGATATGTGAATAATAAACATCATAAAATGATTAATATTGAAATCAGAACAAAGAAAATTTAATATTAAATTTCTTCAGAAATATGTGTTCTTTCCATTACATGTAACATTATAACATACTTTTATATTGTATTTGCAGGTTAAGATACATATTGTTTGTCCATACAAAGTGACTAAAATAGGCATGTAAGCAATGATAAGAATTTCCACAATTAAGACCACCCCGCAATTAAGACCACTTTTGTCCAGTCCGGATGGTGGTCTTAATTGAGGGTTTCTACTGTACTTATAAAGTAAAAACTTAAGGCAGATCATGTTTCAAAAATTCATATGTTTTAATTCTTTATAAATGATGAAGTAATATTATAATGGAATTAGATATTAGATATTTATCAACTGGAGTAAGTTGAGAAAAATGTGCAGTAATGTGTCATAAAGGTAGCAAAATGTTAACAAACTAGTATTTTTTTATTCAATACAAAATACTCATTCACTATGATTATTACAATTGCCAGCAGAGCAAGCAATTTTTTTTTGTAAACTTTATCAAAAATAAAACGTTTTTTAGAAATAAAAGTGACAGCACAATGCGCCTTTAAAATTTCTATTCCTCAAAAGCCATTACATCTAAATCTGATATATATTTGACATGAAATATTGTGGACCTCTTTTAATTTTGTTCAAATTATATAAAATTGCTCCGCTCCGTTGGTCATGGATTTTCCATTTTATCCCGACCTTTTTAATGAAGAAAGTAAAAGAGGTATTGTTACAGTCATGGCGGCCTTGCCGTCCGCAAAGTCTTCATACTTGGCAACAACAACCCTTGGAACAAGACCTTGAAGTAGAACTAAACTTTACTTTCATTCATAAATAACATTGACCTTTAAGGCCAAATGTTTTACGTCCAATTACAACTCTTATAAAATTCTCTCATGGTCCATGTTCATGAAAGCCTCTGGGAGATTGTGGTTAATAGAATTGCAAGACGCTCCCTAGCACCGGCTTAAGCGGTATTTAATCTCAACACTAATGGTATTGGAATCACTGATACCGGAGGACAAGAAAAAATGTAACTACACTAGTGGTGTATATATGTACGAGGGACGGTCAGAAAATATCCGGACTTTTCTTGTCCTCTCTTTCCACGTGCAGCTATATAAACACATTATATATTGGTGAAAACTACATTCATTCGCCAATAACGTGGTCAGTTTATTTTCAATGATAGTTGTGTATACACAGTATTTTGCCCTCTGATATATGATAGGTGTTTCGTCTATCATGGACTCTTTGTTAGAGGAACAACGCTCTGTAATAAAGTTTCTGGTTGCAGAAGGTGAAAAGCCCTGCCACATCTTTCAGAGGCTTAAACATAATAAATGTGTATCACGTTCAACCTTCTACAACTGGGTTTCTCAGTTTCGTGAAGGCAGAACAAGTGTTTGTGACAGGCCTAGGACTGGGCGGCCAGCTGAGGCGGTGACCCCAACAATGGTAGCAAATGTTAAAGCTTTTGTCAACAAAAATCGTCGAGTAACTTTGGAGGAGGTAGCCAACAAGTTTAGCATCGGTAAGGCATCGGCACACAAGATTTTACACGAACACCTAGGCATGAGCAAGGTAAGTGCCAGGTGGGTGCCTAGACAGCTGTCCGCAGATCAAAAGGCAACCAGAGTAACCAATGCAAAAGAACATTTAAGTCGTTTTAATCGTGAAGGAGATAAGTTTTTGAACCGCATTATCACTGGAGATGAGATGTGGGTCCATTATTCCGAACCTGAGACAAAAGCTCAGTCAAAGCAGTGGAAACGAGCTGGTTCCCCACCTCCTAAAAAGTTTAAGCTGTCTTAAAAAAGTCATGCTTGTTGCCTTTTGGGATTCACGAGGAATGGTACTTACTCATTTCATGCCAAAAGGTCAAACTGTCACCGCCAAGTACTATTCTGAAGTAATTCTGAAAAATCTCAGAGAAAAGCTGAAGCAAATTCGTTAGCACAGGAAAAAATGTCCTCCTTCTTCACGATAACGCCCCCTCCCATACCGCCGCAGCTACAGTGGAGGTTTTAACTCTTACAAATGGCAACTCCTTATAGCCCAGACCTCGCCCCCTGTGACTTTTATTTGTTTCCAGAACTGAAAAATTGCTTGCTGGAAAGAAATATAAGACCAGGGCGGCTTTGATATCTTCTGTTACACAGTACCTAAAACATAGGTCTACGTTATGGTTCACAGCGGGAATAAAAAAGCTCCCACGAAGATGGCAAAAGTGCGTAGACGTAGGTGGAGAATATTTTGAAAAAGAGTAGAAAGATTTTTTTTTAAATGTTGAATGGTTTTCGAGAACGAGTCAAAAGTCCGGATATTTTCTGACTTCCCCTCGTATTCTATGCATTTGCCCGTGTCGGCACAAATGGCAGCTTTCGCTGTCAGTTATGGACCCCGGACATGTCACCAAACATGCCCTTAAAAAATGTTAATTTTAAAGCACTAATGGTATTTCCTCGGAGTATTACCCAATGATGTGAATTTTAACTTGTACGGCGGCCTATGAAAATACCTGAAATGGACTGTTTTGATAGCAAAGGGCCTGACCCTTAAGCTGTCACTGCAATACTAGAGTACAGGGCAATTTTATACGCACAACACTTAACGCCTGTTGTTAAAGGGAGCGATGAGAATTGATATTTGTTTTACCTGTTTATGTGGGATATTTGAAGGTGTACTATCTTTTCAAGTTTACAATAACACACTTTGAAAGCCAAATATTGACATATGATACATTTTATGTATGTTATATTTGATGACTAAAATTGATGTTATTTAGGCATGGTTTCTTAAATGCGTATAAAAATTAATAAATATTTATTCAGAGGGTATGCCAAGTATTTTAAAATATTAATAAAATCCAACTTTCCTAATTCATGTTTTTATCAGATGTTATTTTTACTCTAAAACGCACATATACATTACAATTTTATCACATGCATAATAGAATTATGAATAGCTTATTTTCTAAATTGATTTTATTTTACATGCAGCACTTCCATGGATATTTTTCAATTGATATTTTCAACCTAGAAGCGGCTTGTAAATTGGGATGCAGCGATTAAATTTTCAACATAACTTCTCAATTTGTTTTTAATTATTTAGAACTGTCAAACATGTGGTTAAAATGTTGTAATTGTGAATTTAGAGCGTTTTAGATGTTAAACAGCTAAAGAAACGCGACATATTGATTGTCCATACAAAACGACTGTTGGGTCAAAGGCCTCTGTCAATAACTTGACAAATTTGAAATGATGATGCAATTTGGTGAGTTCTGTCACCCAAAATCAACTGTCATTCAAATTATCTCTTAAGATAACTACCCGGCACTTAACGGTAGGAACGCGTTGTTCTTTGGACAACTCTTGTTTTAATATATTCCTACCTAAGTTTAATTAAAACATTTTAAAACTGTACAAGTCATTATATCGAAACCATTTACAGGTCATCACATTAAAACTATGTACAGGTAATCACCACAAGTCATACTAAAATATTTGCCTAAGGCTTTAAATCAAGGGCGTGTTCTGGTTGTTAATATTTCCTCTATTTCTAGGTTCTATTCTTGATGTTGCATATGAGATATACTTATGCTACAAAGATTGCAAATATATAAAAAATTATTCAACTTTATATATATATATATATATATTTTATGTAAATTGTTACAGGTGCAGAAATTTCTCATTAACGTGTAGTTATATGAAGAGGTAAAGGTGTATTCACTTGAAAGGTAAGGTCAGACTTATACGATGATTTTTGAACTGTAGTGGATATTTTTTGTCATGTGTTTATAATACGAAATCGACAACATTTTTCCAGTTAATATTTAGTACATATCTCACTGAGGTGTCGAAGAAATTATATATGTTTTATATGAACGTATATCTAGACGAATAAGAATACAAAATTTATGTATAAACATATAGTGTCCAAAACACATTTAATGATGCTCATTTTTTTGAAAACTAATGAGTTTTTCATTCTTCCTTCTCATGAGAAGGAAGAACTACGTTTGTTGAAACTCACTGACACGTGACGATGTTAAACCAAGACATCCAAAGCATTCAGAATTATTATGGAGCGCGCCATTTTGTTCTATGAAGAAAGCGACCATTACTTTATCATTGTTGCGCATTTATCAATCTGCCACAGGTCGGCATCATGTATTTACATGTCTTGCCATTTATCAACAGCAGAATTGTTTTATTACGATTTTGTTTAAGCTGTTACAAATATATATCTTTAAACTATTAAAGATACATGAAAATATTTTTAATCTATCTTCTGGAGTCCTGTTTATACCCATATTTATTAAATTAGTATTGCCCTAGAAGGAATTTTGGTAAGCTAATAAGTGGTAGATATAATGAGCAATGATACTCCTCCGGTAATACTTTCTCGTATTAGCTATAAATAAGCATGACTCACGATCAGTTTGTGTATCCAATTGATAACACATGTCCTCATTATATACTTTCATTTTCAACACAAGACATTATGTTACATCATTTTACATGTCACAAATTACTACTGATTATAATTAAATATTTCTACAAGAGCATATTATAATGATATAATTAGAAATAACAACAAATTTATTCAATATCCGCCATTGCATTGTATTAGGTCAATAACTTTAATAATGCCTTTGAAACGAATCTTGATATGTTCAGGTGAAAAGCTTCGTACCAAAACTTGACTGTGTGTATCTGAAAAAAAAAACTCTTCGTGATGACATTTAAATGTATATATGGTATCATTCATTTATGATATATCCCGATACTAGGGCAGAGGATCGAACTTGCGGTGTCTAGTGCAACTTACATACAAAACAGGCACCAACCCCCGTGAATTAATTTAATGTGATCATTGAAATAGAAAGATTCCTCACATCATTTGTAATGCATGTTAGTTTTGTGTTATTAACACCAATTATCAGTAAATATTGGTGGCTGATTTTGGACGCTTTTGTGCGCTAACAACAACATGTCAAAGCGCCAAATGTCGAACTTTCGTCTTGTCATCATGTCGCATCATGTCGCATCCGCGCAGTCTGGTCAGGATCCATGCTGTTCGCTATCAGTTCCTCTACTTGTAATAGAGTTGGTCAGCGAACAGCATGGATCCTGGTCAGACTGCGCGGATGCGCAGGCTGGTCTGGATCCATGCTGGTCGCAAACGCACTTAGTTGGTTTTGTCGTGACACGGCTCATATTTACCTTAACAACCATGATTATACAGAATGCCATTTGTCAATTCAGCAATGCTGGAAATCAGTCTAATAAAAAAACCCTGGAAACTTCTAGTATACCCTCTTTATAACCCTAACATTGCCAAAGTGGACTTTCGTAAGTTTGTGGCGATTTTATTCAGTTCATGACCTCACAATGTGTTCATTAATTACACGCATAATTGCTTTATTTCGTGAGTGATTATACAACAAAACTTTCGACAAGACTTAGTGGATCTCCAGGCATGAAAAGTATGTCCGTTTGGCTAGCGATTATACCGAAAAGTATGCTAAACATTTCTCATGCTGAAAAATCATACAGATAATAGAAATAATTTCTCTCAAAATTGGGCAACTCAAATCAAAATGATATTAGATAGTCACGGTTTCAGTTATATTTGGAATTGCCAGTTTGATATAGATATTCCGTTTGAAGAGATTAAGTTAAGAGTTATTGATAGTTACAAACAAAATTGGTACTGTGAAATAAATAATTCGAATCGCTTACATTTTTATTCAATATATAAACACGAATTTTTGTTGGAGAAATATTTTTCAGATGTTTGTGAACAAAAATTTAGAATAGCTTTAACTAAATACAGAATATCAGCACATAATTTACGCATTGAAACTGGAAGATATGACGACACACCCCGACAAAGTCGACTATGTACCTTTTGCAATTCTAATCAAATTGAGGGCGAAAATCATTTCTTGTTGGTCTGCCCGTACTATAGAGATATAAGAATAAAATATTTGCCAAGTTATTATTGCCATTGGCCAACAATCACAAAGTTTGAAAATATCTTATCATCTAATTCTAGAAAAAAGACTTAAAATTTATCAAGATTTTTATACTTTGCCTTTAAAAGAAGAGGTAATCAAATTTTTCTCTTAATTTGTGTAGTAATCTTTATTTAATCACAAAAAAATCAAATCAAGATTTATATTTTTGTCATATAACAAATATCCCTCCGCTAACACAGATTTCATATCATTTTGTTTTGCATATTGTTGCTAATAACTATGTTACCTGTCTATTATTATGCTAGAAACGTTGTTATAATGTTTAAAGCAAATAAACTATTTTGTATTTTTCATTGTATTGTTTTGATATATGGTTATGTCATTTTGATATAGAACAGAACAGAACATTTATTTTATTAGATTTGTACCATAATTAAGTACATCATCGTAACATATTTACAAAATCAATACATTTACATGTAATATAATATACAGTCACATGATAAACCAGTGTTTATAAGTATCGAATCGCAATAACACATACATTACATTTACACATTTACATTTAATAAAGTTACAATTACATAATATAATCATGATATTTTAAGCATACAATTTCATCGTGTTCTTTTCTAAGAGGATGGACTTAAATATGTGTAGCAGATGCTCTTAAAGTCATAGCACGTTTAATACATTATATATAGCTAAATTTTTAATAATTGTTCTTTCATCATTTTTTAATAGTTCTACAAATTTAAACATGCTTGGTTTAACATAATAATACTTTTTTGTATTTTCTGATCGCAAGATCAGTAAATACATAGCTAACATCCACGGTCTAACACAAAATTTCCTAACAGACCTAACAACGCAAAGTAGTTCTCACTCAAAACTGCTTAAAAACCAGCAATTTAAAAGACAGAATAATTTTTAATGTAGGCATTTAACGAATTACAGTGCATTGAAAGTTCAGATAAGTCAATAGAAATATGAGGTTACAATCACAAGTTTCGCGGATGAATATCATTTTAATCAATGAAAATGCTATTTTTAGCTATGTCAATTACTGAATACTCCAGGGCGTAGTACACAAATAAATCGTGGAATATATACATGTCGGACTGTTTTGGCGAGAAGATTTTCGCTAAATTATTTTTATCAGTGTTAAACAGGTTTATCGTGAACAAAATACTTCGAAATTGATAAGGATTACAAACACGAAATGGAAATTCTCAATTTAGAATAACAATGTATTTGTTTTTATTCAGGCTACATATTACGTATTACTTCCACGTGGTGCAGGAGTATCGCGCCCGTATCGCGCTCGTTTAAAGTGTGAGAGGCCTAAGGTTCAAATCCTAGTCGAGGCAACTTTTTTTTTAAGTGTCTTTTTTAAGGAAGTAGCCACGATATGCAAGGATAAAGTGTGGCTGTCATAAAAAATGATTTTTGATGCAACTCTAGTCATGCAAAATTCCATATGTATCAATCTCAAACTATTACAGAAAAAAAATCTTAACGCAGTCGCTGCGTAAGATGAATTATAGTATATAAAAATAAACTTATATAGGAAAATACATACAGATAGTCAGTATGATTTAGATTGGAAAGATCAGAAAATACCACAGAGCTTGCAGCCCTTTGATTATATATAGTTTCCTTATAGTGGTACTCTGATTTTATACAAGTATAATTACCAGGTACCATTAAACAGTCTTCAAGAGAGTCGGGGTATACTTCAAGGAACACTGGGGGTCTACAAGTTGTACGCGGAATTGTCACCAACAGCGTCAATGATAAATAAATCAATTAGAATAATGAACAAGAAAAGCATTGATGCAAAGCATCAAAGGGCGTCCAAGCAAGAAATGCAGCAAGTGAAGATGAACTAGTACACATATGATGACAAGATATTCTTATAAACTACCAGAAATGTATATCACTTATGAATGAGCGGACGAAAGACATTGTTCATTATGAACTTTGATTGCAAGCTAGAGATTAGAATATTACTTGTTATTTCTTTATGATCGTGGTTATTAATAGCAACGGATATACATGTATGCAATCATTTATAATCCATATGTGTAACGCATGATCAACAAGTACCACACATTTGTAATTGTCCCTTATTATGTTATCGCTATTAGCGAAGACCCCCTTAAGGTATCTGTTCACACTTTAAGTTAGTAAAAATATGACACTGGTTATATTACCATGCTGATCATAATTGTTTATTATACAATAATTGTAATATCTATTAATTTTAATTAAAAAAAGTACAAATTTTATGAATATTGTTTTCTTTTATTCTTTTTTGTGTTTTATGTGCTATTTTAATACTGAGTTTTTACTACTCTTTTTTTATTAAAATTGTAAAATAAATTTTAAGAATTCAATTGTCATATTGACCGACGATTATAAGTCAAAGCTTGACTGGAAAAAGTCAGTAAATTATGGTTTATCTTTCAATATATAATATTGTTTATTCTTAAACCATGTACATGTACATTGTATTTTTCTTTATCATTTTTTAAATTATCAATCAATTGAATAATTCATGAAATCTAATTTGTAACTTTGAATAATTCCTCGGCATCTTTACTAAACACGGATAACAAATTAAATAAAATGTTTCAAAGTTGATAATGTCATTTTAATACCATAAAAATGTACCTTTTTCTCAATTATTGTACATATCACGGATTTATATTACATATAAATCCGTGTACATATTTATTGTTTTTATCTCA